GCGAGCGCACGCGCCCTACAGTGAAAATCTCTCAAAAAAAAAAAAATACTCATTCCTTACTGTTCCTTTCACTGTCTCTGTCTCTCTCTGATAAACACACATGCCCTACTGCAAAACCTAAAAAAAAAAAAAATTTAAAGAAAGAAAAGAAAATGACAGGGTTAGTGTCTGAACATGAGGAAGGTGTGATGGTGATTCCTGGAGCCTGGGATACTGGTGGCTCCAAGTTTTCTGTGGTCTGTGCAGGAAAGGGCCTGGAAATGGAGTAGGGAGAGGGAGAGCCACTGTAGAGCCCTGGGACTGTACACGGGACCTGTCACCTACCTCACCACCGAGATGAGGCACATGAAAAAGATGGCGCTGGCAAAGGCGTGGGGGTCAAAATCACCTCCCAGGATGTCAATCACACGGCCGGAATAGTGAGGGATGAGTGTCTCACCTGAAGGACACAGAGGACCACAGATGAAGGGCCATGCCAAGGCCCCTTCCCAGTGCAACTCACAACGTCCCCCTGACTCACCCAGAACAGCAACGACAAGGAAGAAGAAGGCGGCAATGAGGAAAGGCAGGTCCGGCCTGGAGAGCTTCAGCAACCTCCACATCAACACTCGGTTGTTCTCCTGGCCCTGCTCCCTCTCCGGAGCTCCCGGAGGGCTCAGCACAGCCCACAGGGCCCAGCTGAGCCCTGCAGCGCCATAGCCCACCAGCAGCCAGCTCCAGGAGGCTGTGGCCACTCTGACTGTGGGAGCACTGGAGGCCCCTGTGACCACGCCCCTCAGGGAGAGAAACAGGGGGGTCACCAGGCAGAGCTGGGGCAGCAACGTCCCCACACATCCCAGCAGCCCTCCCACCTTCAGCAGCCCCCACAGCCCTCCAAGACGCAAGAGCCCCTCCAGCCATAGTCCTGGAAGCCCTTGGGGAAGCAGCTCCCCCACAGTCCCCCGAAGCAGCCAGAGTAAGACGGTGTCCAGCAGCAGCACCGAGGCCCAGGGTCTCAGATCAGTGAGCGCCATGGCCATCTGAGCCAGAGTAAGACGGTGTCCAGCAGCAGCACTGAGGCCCAGGGTCTCAGATCGGGGAGCGCCATGGCCATCTAGCCAGAGTAAGACGGTGTCCAGCAGCAGCACTGAGGCCCAGGGTCTCAGATCGGGGAGCGCCATGGCCATCTATGGGAAGAAGGTAAGAAATTATGGGGGTGGCGTCCCGATCCTCCACCCAGTCCTCCTACCCCACTTGGCCCCACCGTGGTTTCTCATTTTATCTAATCCTATCCGAAAGACTCCCTGGGCACCCCGTGTTCATTAATACATCCGTCCCACGATAAAGGGACAGAGGGCATTCTGTTTGTCCCAGGGAACTGGGGAGCCTGACCATCAAGACCTTCAGGCCAAAGAAAGAAAGAAAGAAGAAAAAAAGGAAAACAAAACAAAACCAAACCAAACAAACAAACAAAAAGAAACAGAAAGTCCCCCTGACTCAGCTCCCCATATCCCCGCCCGCCGCCGCGAAGCTCCAAAGAGCTGGGGTCGCCGGTTCGGCTCCCTCGTCCTCCTGGAGGGCCACCTGCCGGGAAGCAGGGGCGTGCAGTGGGTGCGGGGTTGCCTGCGTCCTGCTGGCGATCCAGGTCTCTATCCGCGCAAACTCACCGGCGGCGGCCCAGCCTGCCGCTCCTGAGGGGTCTGGGTCGGGATAGAGATGACGGAGCTCTGAAAATGCAATCCGTAAGTCTCAACTTCGTTTCCCGTCTTCGGTCTGCCAGCGACTCTCTCCCGCGAGGGTGTCCGCAACTCGCGCTTTCGCTTTCATTTCCAGAGCCAGGGCCTCACTCTGGGCGAGGCGACCTGCAGGGGGCGCGCGAGACCTGCAAACCACGCAACCCGGAGTCCTAACCGGGTGCTGCAGTGGCCAGGCCCTCCAGCGAGTCTCAGTCCAGGAGTGGCTACTCTGAAATGGAAAATTGCGAAAATGTTTAACTGACATTAAGTAAAATAGAGGCGTTCAAAGACCGAGATGCTTTGTAATTGGATAACCACCGGGTGTTTTGTTACCCCCTCAACTCTGAACCTGTTTGAGGAAGTGCCCTCTTCCCCTAGGCAAGCTCCAGTTTTAGGATCTTGAGGTGGAAAGAGGCAGACCCTGGTTGAGAAATATGCAAGGCCGCTCCTAAATGCATGGTGCCAGCCACTCTCACCAGGCCAAAGAGGGTTTCCACTTCTTAGCTGTTGAACTTAGGAGGCCGGGCCCCTTCATGTTCATCTGTTGCTCACCACTGTGGGCATGCGTGCTCCCGCTCTGCTGGGTGTACTTCTGCTCTGAATTACGCTGGAGCGTTTTCAGCATGGGAGGGGAATGCCAGGTGTGGATTTTGTTTCCAGGTCTATTTTAACACTGATTACAACAGTAATTGGGTTTCTATGGACCCTGCCTGACCTGGATTTTTTCTCAGAAATAACTCTTCAGGTTGAAACTAATTCCCATTTTAAAGAAAAAGAAAAAGGAAAGGAAAAAATCCCTAAGAGATTACTTGGAACCAAATCACCCTTCCAAAATGTTGATGGTGTGACTGGCATTGAGTCATGTAAAACAGCAGGGGGCGGGGGAGGTTGAAGAAGAGGGTCGCTACAATTTCTCTAACCCTAGCCATGCTGGAATTTTTTAAAAAATTTTTAGAGTTATTTTTATTAACTTTATTTATTTATTCATTTGTTTATTTCAATTTGACCAGACAGAGACAGAGTGAGAGAGAGAAAGTGAGAAAGCAAGCCTCCAGGTCCGGGACTCAAACCGCGGTTGGTCACGTGGGAATCCAGCGCCCTTAAACACCATGCCTCTTGCCGGCCCCAACCATGCCAGAATTTTAAGGCCCTGTCTCTAATCACAAAATGTTCCATATTCTGCTGCTCCCTGCGTTGGAGCAGTTTCTCTCACTGTAGTAACTCATATCTGAGCTCCGTCAGTACACCTTCCTGCAGCTCCCGCGTGAGTTGGAGACTCTCAGTGTGTCTGTCACTGTTTTCTAAACTAGGTCTTTTACTCTTCCCTCATATTCCTACTGCAGAGAGACCAGTCCTCCTCATCTCCGTTCTCTGAACCCGGATCCTGTCATCCTGCAATCCAGCGTGACACCTCACGACATGGAACCTCTACTGTCCATTACATTCAATATTCAACATCCTCAAAGCGTCATTTGGGGTAGATGATGGGTGTTTATGAGTATGTTGATGTGAGGTGGGA